TCTGGGGCCGATTGATTGACAAAGGCCCCAGATTGATTACCGCAGACCGGTTTTCAGCAGCTTCTGGGTCCAGGGGAGTGTAGGTCCTGTAGGCTTCCAGCAGTCTCTCAAGGAAAGCTTCAGGAGATTCTGTGGGCTCCTGTTTCACCTGACTTACTTTAGACAAATTAGTGGGATGGTGTGCCACCGTCTGGAGACCCCCCCATCAGAATCTGGCTGTAGACAGTGAGCCTCTCCTTACCTTTGTCTGTATTGAAGTCCCAGCTGGGTGTACTTGAGGGGAATCTGATGTTTATAATATCTAAATCCGTGGTTGGTTTCCCATCAACCCCTGGGACTAGTTTCTGGGCTTCAGTCAGGACTCTCTTTCTTCAGTGGTGAAGAGAACCTGTAAAAGCTGATGGCAGTTATCCCAGGTGGGCTGGTGGGTAAAAAGAACTGAATCTAACAAATCTATAAATTTACTGGGTTTCTCAGAGAAGGGGGGTTCTGCATTTTCCAATTATACAAGTCACTGGTAGAGAAAGGCCAATGAACTAAGAACTGTTGGCCATCGGGGCCTGGTGGGCCCGCTGCCCGCAAAGGTAGGGCCACTGTGCCTAGGGTGTTCTCGGGAGCTCATCGGTCTCGAGAGCGAGTATGGGGAGGACTAATCAACATAGGTGGGTCCTCTGGGTCAGGTTCCTCTTCCATAGGTGAAGGTTCAGGAGGATTGGGAAGAGGAGCGGATTCATATGATGGCGGATAGGGAAAGGATAGATCTTCCAAAGGGTGGTCTGATGGGGGGAGGACAGGATAAAGAGATGGGGCTGAAGGAACCAAGGGATTTGGATTCGACTTGTGGGGTGCCTTAGAGGAGCATGGAGCTTTTGAGGAAGCAGTGGCCACGAGGGTTGCCTTTAAAGGCAGAAGAAGGGGAGACAGCCATTTAGGTCAACTTTCCACTACAGTCTGCCAAATGGTGATGTAAGGAACATGGTCGGGGTGCCCAGGACGACTATATACAAGGTCCTTGACTCTGAAAATGGTGGGGAGGTCAAAGTGCCCTCCTCAGGCCACCCGACTCCGAACTTAGGCCATTCGTTCCTGCAAAAGATAGAAAGTTTACCCTTTTTGACAGGAAAACCAAGCTTTTTAGCCTGGGTTCGAAAGTCACTGAGGCGAGATATGAAGATAGAGGAGTAGAGGGAGTAGAGTGCGACTGGCCCATGCTGAAGAGAAACAAGAAGGCAAGACAGACAAATATGAGTATACAAACAGAGAACACAATGTAAGGGTGCCTCTTTCCAAAAAGAAACCAGATGAAGAGGGACAGACTCTCCTGTAAAAGGGCTCCATCAGGGAGAGACCTCCCTTCTCCCACCAGACTGAAAAATAAAGTCCAAAAAACAGAAGTGAGCGAGGGATGTCTCCTTGCTCACCAAGGTGCGGGGAAAAATAGTGCGTCCACCTAGTCCCCGGACCACCAGATCAGGTTTCTGTCAACAAACAGCACAAATACAAGGACACACGGCACATAAACAGGCAAACACTGCAGTCACACTCACACTTATCCGCACGCTCCACACGGTCACCAGTTATGGGAGCACGATCCCAGACGAGACCCCAAATGTTGGGTCCATGTAATCGACCTCCAAACAATCAGGAGACGCGTGGATGCAAAAGCAAGAGCGTTTATTGGGTAGCCAGCATGCTGGGGTCTTGCACTCGCAGGCGGAGACCCCAAAGTACAAGTTCATGCTTCTTTTTTACACAGGAATGAGGCCGTGCGCAGAGCGGTCGTGACCTGTTTCCCACAAAATGAAGTCATTAAAAAATGGAGTAGCTTATGCCTAGACTCTTTAGTCAGGATTCTTCAGAGATGAAGTTCCAGTACTACTTCTCCCAACTGATTTTCTCTGTCACCTTCAAGCAACTCATTGAACTCTGGGTCTCAGTTTCCTCAACAACAAAATGAAGCTGATAAACTATTCAGTCTAATTCCAAGCTTCCTTGAAATACCAGTTGAAATACTGAGTGAATTTTGAATAGGATGGGAGGAAGGTTAAGAAATGTGGGGACACTGTTCATAGACATATTCTAAGCCATCACTAACCCCTAGACAATAAACTCAGAAGAAAGTGAAATGGGGGTCAGGGAAGACTCCTTCTTAAGTGTAGGATTTCAATTCATCTTGTAACTGAACTGCCTTTGATTTAATTAATTTTCAAACCCTGTCCCCAATTTTAGGATTGAGATACAAGTAGTGGTTTTTGTTTTTACAGAAAGGGTATGTAAATGACTAAATGAGATTTCTGAATGGGTATTTAAAAAATAATATATGTATTTATTCATTTAACAAACATGTACTTAGAGCATAATATAATGCCAGATATAGCATTCCATGCTGGGGATACAAAGAGGAATTAAATACAACTCCTGCCTTTAAGGAACTCTTGATCTGTGAGCTTAAGAGGCTGATACACACCTATTTGCAATGCAATATGATAGTGTTAAATATAATAAGCACCATAGGGCAATTGAAAAGCAAGCAATTGTTTTTTTGCCTTGGAAGTTGGGAAATGTCATGGAAGACACAATATTCAATCTAGATCTTGAAAGATGAGTAGAAGTTTCACAAGCAGAGAATGTAATGAATGTATTTTTTTAAAACAAGAACAACAAAGCTAATTGTAGACTTTTGACTGTCTAAATTGAAATTAAAGAAGTTTTGTTGGGAATTATTTGAAAGCGATGACGAAAACTGCACTGTTGGGAATATATTTTCAGTAGGATAGAATTCTTCAGATATCAATTTTATCAAAAAGATTTAATGATGTTATTTGTGGACATGTAACATTGGAAATACACTTGTACTGACAGGGTAAACTAAGGAAATTTCAGTTAATGGGCAAAGAAGCATCACAGATGGTGACTGGGTAATATTATTTTTAAAATACTAAAAGTTTCCCTTAATATATTTTCTCTGATTTATGTGACATACACAAACTACATAATGGTGTGACGGACTATAAAGGTTTTATTGCCACTTATTTGGTATTGCCTGCATAACTCACTCTGAGTACCAGTTGCGGGTATCTCAAACCAAGTGTCATAAACATTTATAGCATGCCACTCCACTTCCTACTTTCCATAGAGACAAAACGTTAGTGCTCACAAAAATACTTATAAATCTAATAGTTTGTAGTGAAAACTTTCATTTTATTTAGATTACAGATCTCCAGTCTGCAGTAAGAAAAACAAATGTAAGGAAGATTTATGTTACTTCTCTGCAGGACTCCAATTATCTGGCAAATTCCTTCCTCAGGGAAAACTACTTTTCAAAGATATCCTCAGTAAACGCATACTTAAATTAACATAAAATTGGCAAGGTCACTTCTATCTACACCTTTGAATTCATTTGTAAATAACGACTACTCACTTCCTTGCTTCCCCAACCGGGACCAGACTCCAAGCATCACAGGTGCCGAAAAGACTTACAAAAAGGAATGAATAAGAACAAAAGGATGTAGGCGCCAGGAGGAAAACAATTTCCTATAACAAAATTAATCTCAGAAGGAATAGCAGATCCAATACCTGGTATTACTGAAATTTAAATTGCTTTTAACATGGTGATCAGAGATAGTGTATCACATTTATGAGGTCTTCTACTATGCCTGATTTGCTTAAACCTTTGTTAGGCTTATCTAGAGGGATAGATTTCTGTGCTAAGCACATTAATAGGTGTTAAACCAGTACTGATTTCTTTTGAAGGTGGTGGTCAAGAAATAAAGCTTTATTTTTAACTTTAACTTTATGCCATAGGATCAAACGGTGATTTCTATGATCCCTACATTTCTATACTCATGAGTTATTACAAGAAACACAATTCTGATACACAATAGAACCTCAAATAATCATTGAATTACCTCCCACCAAACAACTTGGAGTTCAGATGGGAAATGTTTGCATAGAGTCTTGTTGAAGTTCCAAGTCTCAAATAAGAAGTCCAACACAAAGTGAACATACTGAGCTAAATTTATTGTAACTAGTCATCCAGATGGTAGTTGAATTAATCAGTAAAGAAGCAGTATTTATTTGGGATGGAAGATTCTGAAATTCAGAATGAGAAAGTCCCCAAGGTGGGGGTGGCGACAGTTAATAAGAGTCCTTGGGAAAGGTGCTTTCAGCGAGGATTGGAAAATAATACGTTTGAATTTGAATCTCTTTGAATATAAATCTCCCCTAACAGCAGGAAAAGGGTCCTCTAGCCCAGCAAGCTTTGGGCAGGAAGGGAGTAAACGGAACTGTGAAACAGCCCTCTCAGCTGTTTCTGGTTTGGGACGAGGCTCAGAGAAAGAAATTGCGATGTGGGAACTGAGTATTTCAATCACTCAAAATAACTCGAAGGGTCAAGTAACGAACTCCATGCAAAGCGTTGACAAGCCTCCCCCTTCGCAGCACCCCACGCTGGGTTTCCGCTCAATTTCCCCTCCCTTCTCCAAGGGCAGAGACGGCCGGCACGGCCCCTTCCCACGCGGGGTGCGGCGAGCGTGGACAGCTCCCCTTGGAGCAGCCGAGGGCGGGAAGTCCGCGGTCCGCGGGTTACGGCTGGCGGGCGCCCATCCGGGGCCCGAGCCGGCTGGGCCGGGCAGGCCTCGAGCCTTTCCCCACCCGGGCTGGCCCTTCAGAAGCGATCGGTGGCTGCGAAGGCCTCGCCCGGCCCGCGAGCTGCGAGCGCTGGGTGCCGAGGGGAGGCGGGGCGAGACCGCGGGGCGGAGGGGGGACGGGAGGTGCATCCTGGGAAATCCACCAACATGGGGCGAAGCGGCGGCCGCCGCCGTGAGTCCTGGCCGCAGATGCCGCCGCTTCCCTGACGTCCGCTGGGGCCTCGCCGCGCGCCGCGGCCCGGGTGTCCCCGGCACAGACCGGCCCGCGCGCTCTCTGGCCGTCCGCCCCGCAGGGCCATGTGAGGGGGCAGCGCCCTCCGCCACCGCCTTCTCCTCCTCTTCCTCCCCCGCCCCCTCCCGCCCCCCACACACTGGGCCCTAGAGGAGCCCCCGCTGCCGCCCTCCCTCCCTACGCAGCCCCCGCGATGGACAGGAACTACCCGACCTCCGGCTTCGCCGGCCCGCTGCCGCCGCCTCCCGCGCCCCCGGTCGCCCCCGCCGCCTCCCGCGCCGCCGCACCACCCCTCGCCCCCGTCTGGGCCTACGAACCCCGAGCCGCGGCCGCCGCCGCCAGCAGCTGCAGCAGCCCCAGCCTCAAGGCCAGGTAGGGAGAGCGGGCGGAGGGGTCGTGGTGGTCCGAGGAAGGCCGGTGATGCGTGTGGGGCCTTCGCCCCTGTGCAGCGCCGCCCGGGGGGCGCGGGCCGCGCGGAAAGCCCTCCACGCTTCTCGTCGGCCTCGCCCCCGCCGGGAGAGGCGGCTGTGGACTCTTCTGCGGTGCGCGCGGGGTGGGTGGGGGTGGGTGGGGGAGCCCAGGGCGGGATCCGCGCCTGGGCTGGCCGGGGACGCTAGGTACAGGGAATGCTGGGCGGGAGTCGTGGGTCTCCGTTGCCTCCCGATCTTGGGCTCTCCCACGGTGAAGTTTGGGTTCTCGGCTGAACTCGGCGATCAGGGAGACCCGCACTGGCTCCTGGGGCCTAGGGGGCCGCCAAGATGTTTGGGGTAGTGACATGCCATTGTACTGGAACCGACAGTGCGGTATTGGGGGCCCCGGCAGTGTCAGGGTGGTGGAGGCGGGAGAAAAAGAGGCGCCGAGCCGCGTTCCTGGCGTTGGGGGACCTGGGAGGGTTGGGCTGCAGGAGAACCCCCGGGGCGTGGGGCCCGGGAGGGGGCCTGGCGAGGCGCGAACGCTGCGCCTGGGCTGGGTGACATATGTTTGCTTTGGTGGCTAAGATTTAGCTATTTCTCCACGCGTTTAAAGTTACTCTTGGGTTTCCTCCCCTTTTAACAGCAGGAAGTAAGGAATCTCTCTTTGCTTTCCGTGTCTTGGGGTGACTAAGAGTTGGGAAGAAATTGGAAGGGGGATGGTCAGGGGTATGGTCAGTGAAAGCCATAAAGGTTGAAGAACAGAAGCATGCTTCTCCATCTCGGCTTCTGAAGCCCTGGTTCATTATGTAGAGTGGGGTTCAAGAGTTCATCTTTGCTCCAGCATGGCCAAGGGAATATAAAATATTGACTTTTACTGGATATTTAAGCTCTCGGGAAATGTGTAATAGTACCACACTGTGAAACGGCCTATTTGAATGATAACTGGAAGGCGTGGTTTGGTTTGGACGGTTCGGGAGCCGGGTGTTTTAAAGCCACCTCTGCCGAACAATGCAGAAGCTGGTAGGTGCAGCTTCTGATTACAAGGACCAGGGAATCCTGGGTTGCTAATGACTTCATCCTCAGCTACCAACAGGAAGCTTCGTGGCTTTATGATCTCATCAGATTTCTTTATTATTGTCACAACATAAGTTTTTTGTTTTTGTTTTTTTACTTTATGTATTAGTGTTAGAGCTTGTCATCTTTGTTTTTACAAAAGTTCACATTCATAATTTGGAAAATACGTTTGAAGAGTAGCTGGCCTTTGTCTTACTACCTTGGGATGATAGAGAATGAGAAAAAATTGGTTCAAGAAAAGGGAATAAGCTCTCTTAGATTTTAGATCCTTTGTTTAAAGGAGCTGGGATTTAATAATAATAATGTAATGTGTGAATTTAGAGCTAAATAAATGCTGAAACCTTTCAGAAATAGCCATAACTTTGTATTATATACAATTAAAATTTAATTTTAAATGAAAAATGTTTTATTAGGTAAATGAAACAAATGCTACCTAGTTATTTCTGTTATTTCTTTTAGCAGAATACTTCTGAGGCAAGAAACTAAAATCTACTTGTCATATTTTCCAAATGTTATTTATCAAAGTAACAAAGAATGACTTCCCAAACACATTTGAAAACAGTAAGTAGATTCATTTGGAACACATGATCTAAAAGAGATTTATTTTGTTTATTGGAGATTATTGATTCTTAAATGCTAAGCCTCCCCCTTTTAAAAAAATGTATTTTAGGGTGGGTCAGCTAAATCATAGCATAGAAAATGCAGGCTTTCCCCCTCCCCCACCAACTTGCTTTGTTAACATCTTGTGTTAGGATCAGGCCATCTGTACAGGGTACACACACTTCTTAATTGTACCTCATTTTATTCCATAAGCTGTGCAAAGTCTTCTTTCATTTCAGTTTATAGAAAATATAGAATCTGAAATATGCCGTGTAAGCCTTTATTGTGTTTTCAGAGGCTTATTCATATTTTTATAAACATTTAAAAAAGCATTTTCATAATTCACGTATCAGTAGAATTTTTGTTCCCCTTTGTGGCAGTTTCTTCTTGAAGGTGCAAATGAGTACTACTTGTGATGATATAATATATGGATATTTATCCGTGAAGAATAAACCTGTCTGTCACCTTATTTCCAGTAGCCTAACATGATAATGACATTCAGGTGGTACTGACATGGGATCTAACATCCTACTTTTATAAAGTCTTTGGTTGGTCCTGAAGTGGATCATCTGCATCAGTTGTTAGGAAAGAACATGGTAAACAATTTTTTGTGTCTTTAAAATAATACTTTTTTGGTATAACAGCTCCATCAGATATTAGATATTTCTACTGTTTTAACAATTAAAAAGTAAAGAACTAATGGGAAGCCCTAGTATTTTATCTTAAAGAAGGTGTATGGAGAGATTCCTGAATATTTCTAAAAACAGTATGTGCTAGGTACACGGGGAGTTCAGGGATAAGAACTGGTCGTATAAGTCTCCCATTTATTTGTGCTCTTTCCAGTTAATCTTAGGGACCAAATAAGCATATCTTTGCCTATTACCATGCCGTTGGAAGTACTTTTTGTTGAGCTATTTTAGATACTAAATACCTTTGCATGTTTTTGGAAATGAGATGATCATCAGGAAGCTGCAGACCTGCTGTCCTTTCTCTACCTGATATTTATATCTTGTACAGAATAGGAAGAAACAGGCTGATTCATTATGGTGATGATAGATATTTTATTTGTATTTGAGTATACACCAGAAAGTGACTAAATGGAAATACTTAGTTATAAGCAGACTTATACTTGGTTTTTGTCTTTGTAACTTGAAAGTCTGTTTTTTTTTGCCACCAGTTTTTAGAATTTCCTAGTACATAAGTTCTTTCTGATTGTAGTGTGAGTATGCAGTGAGTGTGATAGGCATCTTGCCATAAAACAAAGCAGTGATTAGCTTCTCTAAAAGTGGTCATTTTTAATAGATTTTAAATCCAGAGTTTCCCTCAAGGCTTTTGGAAAAAGACCTTGTAAGATCACAATTTATGAGGATTAGTGAAAAGTTACTTCAAGCAAACTGCGTTCAGAAAGTATTTTCCCATAGAAACAATTTTGTAAGTAATAGGAGGGGTTACTTACTGAGCAACTAATTTGTGTGAGTTACTGCTTTGATATACACACACTCTTACGCTTTCATTTATTTAATCCTCACAGTGGTCTTTGAAGTAGATATTATTTTTACCTTTTGTGAATGAGGAAACTAAGGCATAGACACATTAAGCAATATACTTAGAACCACGTAGCTAGTAAATAGTGAGCTGGGGTTTAAACCTGGACATTGTGGATCTGGAACCTGCATGGTGAATTGCCATACTGTATTATTTCATGGTAAACTAGTCTAATTCTGTAATCTCCCTAGTTATATGGCTTACATGAGCTTCTGTAGCTTTCCCGGAAACTTAACCGTCATTATTACTCTTATTTCAGTCTTCTTGGTCACTCTTGAGCATTTTTTTTTTAATTGAAACATGCTTCCTTTCGTTTCCATAACATTGTATTTTCTTGGTTTCCCTCCTCTCTCTCTGGCCCACTTGTTTGTTTACTATGTCTTAACGCTTCTAATCTGTGCATGTTGTTGTTTCCTCAGGGTTTGGGATTGATACGATTTCTTGTCCATTCTGAAGTGCTTTCTCCTGAGGGCATTGCATCCATGTCCATGCTTTAATATTGTCTCTGGAGATGCCCATATGTATGTCTAAAGCCCAAACCTCTTCTGAGCACCTAATCTGCGCATCTGGCTGCTTCTTTGAGCTTTTTTTTATTAGGGTATGTACTGGGCATTTAGTGATGAACGCATGCATTCCCCATCCACCGCACCTCTGCTTGTCTAGTGAGGATGTCTCTGTACGTCACACCACTATCCAATGCGTTGCTCAGATCAGAACGTAGGAGTTTGTTTATGCTCAGTCATCAAGCCCTACTACTTTTCCATCTCTTAAGTAATCTTGAAATTGTCTACTTATTTCTGTTTCTGCTGCTCCACCTTAATCCAAGCCGCTATTATTTTTCACTTGGATAACTGCAGAAGCCTCTCAAGTAATCCTGAATGTTTTCTTTCCTTCAATTCATTCTCCTCATATGATCCAGATGGTTTTTTAAAAAACATACGTCTACCATTTTGATCATGTTGCTTCTTTGTTTAAAATCATTCCATTGTAATTCCTACATCTTAGGGTAAAGTTTTAAAAAATCTGTAATATGAAGTAATATGGCCCTGCGTTACTGGCCTGCTTAAAATTCCTTGGATCATCCTAAATTCCTTTCTAAACTTATATGCTGTTTATCCACCTACATGACTCTCACCTTTTCCTCATCTCCTAACGTAAGGGTATCTCATGTTAGAAACCTATCGACCCCTGTTGGTTTGTGCAATGATATGTTTTCACAGTGCATTTTACTGTCCTTTCATATATAATTGACTCTTGAACAATATGGCTTGAACTGTGTAGGTCTATTTATACCCAGATTTTAAAAAATAAATACATTGGAAAAATTTTTGGAGATTTGCAACGATTTGGAAAAAAACATTTTCTCAAGCTTACTTTATCGTAAGAATATAGTATATAATACATATACAGAATGTGTGTTGATCACCTGTTTATGTTTTTGATAGGGCTTCTGATCAGCAGTAGGCTATTAGTAGTTAAACTTGGGGGGAGTTAAAGTTATATGTGGATTTTCAACTGCACGGTGTAGGGAGGGACAGCATCCCAGCCACCCCAACCCCTGTAGGGGGTTGACTGTAATTCTTAGAAATATAATTATGCCTATATGCTGTTTATATAATCTTATGCTTTAGAATGGAAGTTCTCTGAGGGACTGTCTCTTTTACTTACTGCTGTATACCTAGTACTTTAGTGCCTAGCATGTAGTTGTTAACTTAATACATATTTATGACATGAAAGCCA